GTGTTTTATCACATCGATAGAAAGTAAACAAAGACTTTCATCCTGATTCCCAACCCCCACCCTGGTGCTACTGCTGTTGTTTCTAGTAAGTTCTGCTTTTTAATAATTTGTCAGTTCTTCCAAGGAGACCTCTTGTTTCAGGCCTAGTTAGGTGACCTAAGAGTTCCTCTAACTTTTCAATCAGTAAAATTAAGATTATTAAGATCAGACTCTGGGTCTCTTGCATAAAAGTGTTTAGCTTTTAGTAAGACAGATTCATCTCTCCACATCCAGAGAAGATAGAGAAACAACTTATTGGAACATACATCTGTGTGAAACCCCTTGGGGTAGTTTAAATGAGAAATGTCCTCTATAGGCTCAGGTATTTGAACACATGGTCTTCATCTGGTGGTCCTGTTTGGGGAGGCTATGGAACATTTAGGAGGTAGAGCCATGCTGGAAGAAGCACATCACTGGGGAGGGATTTGAGTGTTTATCTTCTGTCCCCATTGCCAGTTCACTCCTCAGCTTCTTATATTATTAAATATGACCAGACAGTTTTCTGTTCCAGCCACCTGCTGATATGCCTCCCATCATGATAGACTCTAACCCTAACCCTATGGTACTATAAGCCAAAATAAACATTATCCCTTAAGCTATTTTTGGTCATGATACTTTTTATCAAAGCAACAAGTGTGTAAATGATATACCCATCCTTAGGGATAGTAGAACCCAATTATTTGTCATTTGCCACTTTTCCATGATCTGTTCCAAAATGACTTATCTTCTACCCTACTTAAAAGCCACTGTTAACCAGGTCGTCTTCTTCAGATGGAAGAAGCCTTTTCTGAAAATACTAGTCATTCTAAATTCCAAGCTCTGTTTTTCAAAATGTAAATGGAGCCAACATTTTGCATCTTGATTCCTTTAGATGGCCATTGCTCTATTGATATATGTCCATCCCAGCACCACCTTTCTAGTGTTAACCCAATACACAGCATGAAGAATTCACCAATAAAACACACCAGCTCCAGTTATTCTCACTTATGCACATGGGCAAGATGAGTTCTTGCCACAAATGGAGCTCCACAGTTACTACAGACACAGGTGTGATGGACATCCTTATTATCACTCCTGACTGCAATCTATGGGTAGTTCCAAATTAAGCACTGATATGTGACTTGCACTGAGGCTTAATTTATAGTTTAAGACTGCTGACACCTCATATCTTACTCCCACAGAGAAACCTTTACAAGTTCTTTAATACTCTCTATATTTGTGTGTTTTATATAGTGTACATTATACAGGTATGCTTGTTGATGAGTGACAGGAATTCAAACAAATGTAACACACAAAAATTGTTAGTGGGAGAATTTACTGATGCACACAGTTGAGCCTCAGGAGTAATTTTAAATAATTTTATTCAGGCAGTAAAACTCCATGGTATCACATACCTCTTATCCATCTATCCATTTATGACTATTTTCTTTTTCTGTTTTTTTTTCTGTTATAAGTTTTCTTCTTTTGGTGAAGGAAATATGACCAACTGTTGTGGGAATTTATTCCACTCAACCTATGACTTTGGGGGTATCTGACTCTATGGACATGGTCTTGTCTGCATACAAAACCACTTAAGAGGAGAGGGGGGTCACTCTCTCTCTCTTCAGGTGAGAGGACTGGGTCAGGTGGCAGAAAGCAAGCAGCTTGCAGATGGTCCCCATTGGCCTTGAGGAGAATGGAAGCTGGATCATCAGCAAATCACCAGCATGTCTATCTTGCTTTGTATTAGTGAGTCTGTTTCCCCATCACACCCCTTAATAAATTGATATGTATACTTCTGTGGACTCTCATACCAAGTGGCATGCAACATGGGGCATGAACTCATGACCCTGAGATTAAGAGTCTCATACTCTACCAACTGAGCCAGTGGGGTAACTAGTTGTTATACCTGTACAGCCTTATCACCAAAAATAGAAGAATACTCTTCCCTCCTGATATGAAGCTTGCGAGAGGTTACACTGATTTTATGACCATCTCTGAACAAAGGTGCATGCCCATTAGGTATTACCACTCCAATAAGATGCCTCAATCAGTTCAGCGCGTAGTCCCTTATTAGCTCTGTGAGTTAGGACAGTGTTCCCATTTTCTGAGAGTTCATATCAGTCAATATTTGTGGACAAGTTCTCTCAACTCAAAAAGATTTTGTAAGTAAAAGTTAATTCAGTTATAAATTTATTAGCCACACTTGTGTTGGTATATGTCAATGAATCTGAGTTAAGCGAGCACAACAGATCCTAATTGGTGTGACTTGACATCCATCTGAAGTCAAGTCTGTGTAGCTTTGGTCCATCATAATAAGCTCTGTAGGAAAAGTTTCTTTTCAACTATTAGTGCATAGCTATCAAGGGAATAACTACTGATAAATAATGTAAGCATATACTTTTAGGTATTTGATATATTGTATTATTAAATCATATTTTTAGTCTGTGGCCATACTGCCCTAAATGCCCCTTACCTCTTCACAAGGCCTTCTATTGTGTGTCCATACTTTCCTGAACCCCCCTTTCCTCCCCACAAGACCTTCTAGTCACTATCCATCCTGCCCTATATTCCCTTCACCACCCCACAAGACCTTCTAAGATATGCTGCATAAATAAAGGAGGATGAGCATCAACAAAGCTTTCCATTACTATATCATGTCCACAAGGATATTTCATGAATTCCTTGCAAAAACCAGCTGCATTCCTTCCCTGCTTTTTCTTAGAACTGGTTATGACACATAATGATTATCACCATCACAGTCAAGCAAAATAATCACATGAATTATAATTTAGTGTGAAAAATAAAATAAGAGATGCAGCTCAAGAAAGAGTTACACTGCTAAGTAATCCACAGGTGGGAAGATGTTTGGAAAAGCTACATGTACACACAGACATGCAGAGATTAAAGGAACAAAATGACAAATACAGTATAGAAATTATTTTAAACTTTCATAGTCTGAAGGCAACCCTAGAAATTTTCATAGAGCAAGTGACTCCTCAGTAGAATTTAGGGTAATTTGCATAACAACATTTAAGAAAAGATGTGATAGCTAGACACTGGGAAGTGCAGAGGGGGTAGAGATGCACTTTATTACAGCATGTTTCTCAGCAGCTCCAAAGAGATGTTCACAACTTTCATGTGAGACTAATTATAATCCAACTTCTAACTACCAACCCATGGATAATTACTGAAAGATGGAGAGAACAGGAGCCACTCTGAGCTAATTAAAATAATTTCTCAGTTGCAGATGTCAGGTTCTTTTAACACTTCTTGTGGGAGTTGAAAGTGCTTGCAAGGACTTGGGGGGGGGGAGAAAGTACTTATCTCAATAAAATAAAAATATATGAAACCCCAAATTAATCAATAATTGTTCCTTCAGAATTGTTATGCTGTTCCTATGTTATACAAATCACTGTGACAATTCAGGCATGACCAACCTGTGGCACATGGTCAAATTCATCTAAGAAAGCTATAAATACAGCGAAACACATTTGTAGAGGACAATATCTTTTCACAATACCAAAGGTCTTGACACCATTACCAGAGGGTAGAAATTGTGGAATTTATATATTTAATGATTATTCAATGAAATTTGGACATATGAAAAATATTATGCTAATGGTCCAAAAGGAAAAAAATCAAACATTTTTCATATTTATAAGAAACAAAACAAGGCATAATGGAACAGGATCTACCAAAGATGCCTAAAGAAAGTCCTAAATATCACAGAGGTATGAAAGACCAAAGAAAGTCTATAAGGAAGTTGGTACAGATTCTAAAGTTAGAATGGAAAATAGAAAGAAAAAAAGATCTGATGAAAAGTTTTAATTCAAGAGAATAAGGCTTATTCAATACCACTTCAGTCAGTGCTTGCAAACAGAAAATAGTTGATAAGATGCAAAGACTGGTGAAAATTAGGCTATGGACGATCTTACATACCAAGTCTCTGAATTTAAGTGCAATTTCCCAGACAATATAAAGTCACGGGGCATAGTATTGAATTATACTTATGTTTGTGTGTATATGAGAGTGCTGTGTAATGTGTTTATATGCCCATGTGTATGAAGGTGTGCATACTCGTGTATGCACATGTGTGTGGAGGTCAAAGGTCAATGATGAATATACTACTCTGTCACTCTTAATCCTATTTTTTGAAACAAAGCCTCTTGGGTGACCCTGAAGCTCATTGATTGGCTAGATAGAATCTTGCCCAGGGAGCTACTGGGGATCTGCCTATCTCTACATTCTTAGGACCAGGATTACAGATGCATGCTGCAGGACCTAGCTTTTATGTTGGGTTGGAAGATCTGCACCCAGGACTTCAGACTTATACAATGAGTGGTTCACCTGCTGAGTTGTCTTCTCAGCCCTCAGCCCCTTCATGAACATTTTACCTGAAGGAGCAACCGAACTATTACTGAACCATGGGAAAATTTTTCCTGGTGCAAAATTACAGGCTTGACCAGAAAAGGAAAATTTTGAAATCAGGGGAATTAAATAAGTGGCTCTTCCAATATCATGGAGCTGATGACAGATCAAAATAACAAGAGAAATGGAAAAGATGAGTTGGACATGTAGTAAGAGATTTCCTGTGTCCCAGCCTGCTGGCAGTTGGGACAAATCTCTCTCACTCACATCTCCCAAGTAAACACAGAGGCTTATATTAATAATAACTGCATGGCTATGGCTCAAGCCTTTTGCTAGCTAGCTCTTATATCTTAAATTAGCCCATAACTATTGATCTATGTATCGCTACATGTTTCCTGGCTTTACCTGCATTCCATTATTACATGTTGCTCCATGGGCGGCAGGATGGTGTCTCTCTCTGCCTTCTTTCTGTCTTTCTCTTTGAATTTCCTGCTGGCCTCTAAGCTGCCTTGCCATAGGCCAAACGGCTTTATTTATCAACCAGTCAGAGCAACACATATTCACAGCATACAGAAAGACATCCCCCCATCATGGACAGAAGAAAAATGATCATTTTTCTAATTATTTCTTTTAATTAAAAGTATAAGAATATACATAGTAAAATAAAACCGTACATAATCAAGTTCCAAGTTGTAGAGTTGAGGGAAATAGATAATGGTATTTGGAGAGAGAGGTTCCTGAGAGCTGGAAGAGAATGGACTGAATTCATACATGTGGCATCCCAGTGCATGTCTGAGAGAATGGCATGTGGGAACCACTAAAGCAAAATAAACCTAGCACACACCCAGCTCAAAGAACCTGGTCAGAGGAAAAGACACACATCTACAGAGTGAGAGACAAACAGGTGGCTGAGACAGGAGAGTCTCGTGGAGGAACTCCACAAGAGGGTGAAAGAGCTTGGAGCTGGACTCCTGAAAAAACAAAAACAAAAAAAAACCTTTTATTTCAGTTTTGTATTTTTGTTAATTTTGTGCATGAGGAATAGATTTGCATCAATTGCACTACTCACCTTTTCCATTACAACTCTTCCAGTGCCCCTGTTCCTTCTCAGACTCATGAATTCTTCCCTATAATTAGTATACACACATACTCAATACTTTCACTCACAAATTAATAGACATTTTATACTACACATATAATGCCTATATATCCCCTATACACAATACATAAACACACATATGTATGTGATATATATATATATATATATATATATATATATATATATATATATGCATCCTACCCTCTTTCAGCAGCCATTGATCTACTGTATCATCTAGGGGTGGGGCCTTAAAAAACTTACCCCATCCATGTTGGCATGTCAATTGGTTCTGTCATTATGTCGGAAACCAAAATTTAATTGATGCCTATGGAAATATAAAGAGAATAATTCACAAGGGCAACACTTTATTAGAAAGTCAGAAGATTTGGAGACTAAGTATGAGAAGCATTAAGAATTATGGGATGTTTGAACTGGCTAGATGTGGCCATTTAATACTTTAATTAGCTTCTGCTTTCTACTCTCCTGTAAGGTATATGGGAAACATTTGCATAATGTAGTAACAAAGGAAAAAAATAGACAATTTATGTGCTTGTGTTTCTCAACACTTTCAGTCGTGAAATAATACATTAACATAACACTTAACTGCAAACTAAAAGAAAATTAGGACCAGCTATATAGCACTTGGTAGAAAAAATAAAACCATTTTTGTAAACCACTGTCAACATTGAGGCCACCAGGAAACATTCTTATATTAAGAACTATTCCTTACCCATTTTCACCATGTGAATAATTCTCATCTGGGACAAGAGAAGTTGCTTAAAGTATGCTAATTGGAGATCTTCATCATAATAGCTGTGTAGAAGCAGTTTAATATGCTTCCCAGAACTTGAATGTTTTCAGTGGAAATCTTGTTCCATTGAAAAAGGGCAACCACTGAAAAGGCAGTTATCTGACATTTCAAGACAGAGTATTTCACAGCACCAATAACCTGGAAAAATTCCTTAAAATACACCTGACATCATTATTCAATCTGTCAGTTTTCTGAGCTAACAAAGTAATAAACAGTTTCTATATTGGTTTGAGTTCCTATAGTTAAGCACAAACCACTTCCCCTTTCTTAATAAATAGTCTCATTGAGTTATTTGGGTGGCATGTGCATGTAAGGTCATAAAGTTTATTTAATTTTTAATTAGCAATATTATTTCCAAGGCACAGCCTACTCCAAAGAATTTGAAAAGACTGTGAGAATTGATTGCCATTTTCTAAAAGAGAAAGTCTTTAAGAGAACTGATCATGTAGCTTTGGGAAGCAGGGTGGGTTCTGACATGAGAAAGTGCTGGGAGATGGAATGGATTCCCCATGAGCTGTGGGGAGAGACATTTTAAATCAGTGACTCAGTTTCCTCACATAAAAGCTAAAGTTTTGCCGGGCGTGGTGGCGCACGCCTTTAATCCCAGCACTCGGGAGGCAGAGGCAGGCGGATCTTTGTGAGTTCGAGGCCAGCCTGGGCTACCAAGTGAGCTCCAGGA